GGCTCCTTGTGGAGCTCGTTTATAACCCCAGGCAAGCCACAAGTTTCTATTCTTGTTTTGTCCTGTGTCCCTGCTGGCAGCTGGCTCTTGGGCTCCTGTTAGCAGTGAGCCGCCACCCTGTTTCTTCTAGTCCTCCTGGCCAGGAGTGGCAAGTGTGTATTCAGGCCCTGCTGGCCATGTGGCTGTGCTAGATGCAGCCCCAGATAGCTCTGTCTCAGGGGTCTCTTCCCCACCCCCACCTCAGGCCTGCCAGGAGAACAGATGGTTTTTCTAATCTGTGGGGCAGCTCTTGATATAGTTCAAGTTATTCATATGTCCTTGTGTTCTGTTCATTTCTGCTTTTAAAAGTATGGCGTCATTGGCAGAGTGGCAAGTTCCTGTTTGCCTGTGCTTTGAGTCCTGGTTGGCTGTTTGTGTTCTGACTTTGACATTGAGCGTTACTGAATTAGAGCGTGTACAGCACACACTTGACTCCTGTAAGTTGAGTGTGTAGCTCCGTGGCCTGGAGACCCTGGAGCCGTTCAGCAGCCGGCAGTCTGCTGTGCCACATTTGGACCACCCCAGGAGGTGTGACTGCCCCCCGGAAGCTACCTGCTGCGTGCTGTGTCCCTCAGCGTCCTCAGCAGCATGTCCCGCTGCAGGTGGAGTCAGACGAGGGTCTGGCCCTGTACTGCACACGGGTCCTTCGAGGTCCACACATGCCGAGGCCCAGGCTGGCGCTGCGCTCTGGTTCTTAGTCCTGCTCTGCCATGGGGGTGAACCACCTGTGATCATCTGCTTCTGTGGATGGGACTCCAATGTTTGCAGCTCTGGGTGCTCCCAGCAGTGTGCCTGCGAGTCCTCATTGCCCCTGGGGGTCACCTACGTGAGGTCATGGGCTGTGACAGGAATGCTGGCACAGTATTCTGAGAAGCCACAGGGGCCATGTGCCATGGTGACAACACCATTTTGCCCGCCTCTCCCTGCTTTGGCCATGTATTCTTTTATCATATCAAATTAGTTGTTTCTCGTATTTTTATTTAGGAGCATTGTCCTGTCCCTTGATTCCTTCTGGGCTGACACTGTGGGCTTTATTCTGTGTGTAGTCGCCCTGTGAAGGGCCACAGCAAGCCCTGTTTTCAGCGTAGCTGTCTGCTCAGAGCTCTGTCTTGGCTTCTCTGATTTCACCTTTGGTAGCTGCTGCTGCCTCGGGGTCCCAGGCCCCCCATCGTCACAGAGGTACAGCCCCTCCAGAGCTCTCCAGCCATCTCCCTTGTTCATTTTTGCTTTCATGAACGTGTGGAGGGGGCGTGCTGCTGGCCCTTCAGAAGGGGGAGGCGTTTGTCGCTGGGGAAGGATCTGAGGTTTGCCCCATGACTCGGTGCTCAGCAGTTAGCTTGGTTCCACTCTGCCCTCCTGTCAGGACATGGCTACCTGCTGTGATGTTGGCTCCTCTTGTTGCTGGCCTGCCTTCCTGCTCTGAATGCAGATGGGTGGCAGGGTGGCTGGTGGAGGTCGCTTACACACAGCCAAGCTGCCAGAGGTCCTTTGTGGGCGTTGTGGCTTCAGCCACAGGTACTGCCTTGGGCCCCAGTGCATTGGCCAGGAGCTCAGCAAACCAGCACCCTCTGCAGCTGGTTTCAAGTCCCTTAACCCTGCAGACAAACCTGTGGCTTTGTGCAAAGGAGAGGTCCAGAAGGTCAACGGGCCTCGAGCTGCCAACAGGCACAGGCAGCGGGATTCTAGCCAGGCATGTCCAGGCCCTCAGTTACATTTCTCTCCAGCCTTGCTGGAAGCTAAGAGGCCTCAGTGCGTACCATTGGCCGTGGCCCTGTGGATGATGTGGTGAGACCAGCCTGTCACAGTTGTGGGTCTTATGGACACTGCTGTTGCAAGGGAGAGCCCAGCTGCTTCCTCCTGGGGCCACAGCTAGCTCCAAGCCACCATCTACCTGCCCCAGACCCACATGTTTGCTCCTGCTTGCTGCCACCCAGAGCCTGTGGGCTGCAGTAGCGTGGCCTTGGACCCCTGCCAAGCCCTGTGTGCCTTAGAAAGGTCCCTTGACTTGTTAGACAAAGAATTCTCTTTGCGCTGAGCTGCAAATAAGGCAGCTTCCCAAGTCCCGTCCTGAGTGTGTGCTGGCCGGAATACATACCACAGAAGCAAAATGTTTGTTTTCCAATTGTGTGAGCACCAGGAGGCCCCCTGGCGTCGGCCCTACTCCCTGTGTCCAGGCCAGCCATCTGCCAGGCTGGGCTGCTGCAGAACTGTGCAAGGGATGTATGGCATGTAAGCAAGCATGGCAGGGAGGTGGGTGTGTGCCCAGTTTGCCCATCACGTGCAGGTCCTTGGGAAACATTTGTTGGTCCCTACATAGTGGAGCGGAAGCAGGGCAGGCTTCCCCCCTCAAGATCCTTAGGGCCACCCCCCTCCCATGTGCTTCCAGGACCTGTAGTCACCAAGAACAGCGAGGGTCCAGGGATGAACCAGGGTGCTCACGGGGCTCAGGTGATGAGGCTGCCTGGCTTCTCACCTGTGCCTGAGGCTGGCACTTCCCTTTGTGCAGAGGGTGGGGAGGTGGCCAGGTTGGGGAGCCAAAACCCAGCACTTCCCAGAACTGGGAGGAACCCATCATGGCCTGCGCAGCACCGGAAGAGGCCCTGCCTGGGTTGTGACAGGGTGCAGCCCGGGTGCCTGAGAAGCCTGCTGGGGCCTGAGGAGTGAGTGCCCAGGGAAGGCTGACCTGGAGCTGGCCAGCACCTGCCTGGCTGTTTCCCCGCCCTGACCCCGGCAGCCCTGGGGAGGAGTCCCTACCCTGTGGCCCAGCCCCCACAGTCCCTGGGGCTGGAGCCGTGGCTTCCGGTGTGTGCGGCTTTCATGCAACCTTCAGATTTACCAAAGATGGATTACAGATAGGCCAAAAATATGCCTGTGCCTTTAAAAAAAAATTCTAAAAAAAACCCACAGGAAACCATATGCCCTGCTGCCTGGGTAGTTTGTGTGCCACTGTCCAGCAGTCGTGAGACGTGGAGTTTCCAGGCCATTAGCCATACGTTCTCCTTGCATGGTATTCTCCTGATAGAGAATTCTGGTCTCCTGTTAGCATCTCTCTCAGAGGAGGAAATCCCCCCACTGTGCCAGGGCCTGCGCCTGCCGTGTCCAGCAGGGTGGCTGCAAGGCCTGTCTCCCCGGCCTGTGGTTTGGGCCTGTTGGGGCTTCGCTTTTCAAGAGGCTTGCTAACACCCTCTCCCAACAAGGGTTGTGGGATTGGACCATATTGGGGAGCAGTGGCCGAGGGGACAGCCCTCTGGTCTGGGAGGGATGCAGGCCTTGGGGACACACTGGTGGCAGGCAAGTGCTGGGGGCAGGAGCGCTGGGTTTCCAGCATGCCACTACCCAGCACAGGCACCCTGGCAGGGCCTGGCAGCTGGCTGCTGGCTGGGCTGCTCTTCAGGAAGGGCTGGTGGTGCTGCTGAGCCCCAGGGCCTTGGATGAGGCCCCGCGAGGGCTCCTGTGAGAAGGTGCGGGGAGGAGCCCCACACGGAGGTGGTGCAGGGGACTGGGTGTGGTGGTAGAGGTCAGCCTCAGCCTGGAAGCTGCTGCTGCCACAGCAGGGCAGCAGAGCGGGTCCTCCAGGGAAGAAGGATCCACCCAGGCTTGATAGTAGCCCTGGGGGTTGGTGGTCCCTGCAGCGGCTGGCGAAGCAGCCCAGTGAGCTGGGGTTGGCCTTTGGCAGGTCCCTGTCTCCAAACTTACCTCCCCTCTCATGGGTAGGGGAGGCTGCTGCTCTGCCACCTTCAGACCCACCCCACAGATGGTTGGCCTTGGCCTGGCCCTGCTTCTCCACGTGTGAACATGTGCTGGAGTGGGTTACCCACAAAGCCTGTGGCGCTCTGGTATAGACAGCTGTTGGATGGCCAGCATGTGGGTGATGTTGCGTGGGCTTGGGCCCTGGATTTCAGCTCACAGATGGGAAGCAAGGCCTGGGCCTCCCTGGGCTCTGTCTTCCCGAGTAGGGTCAGTGGGAACAGGTGACCGCAGAGAATGGCGCTGCTGCTACCATGGCAGTGGGTTGGATGGGAGAATGCATCCTGGAGCAGGCTGCCACTGCTTTTCTGAGGCTGGGGGTGGTCTTGTTGGATTACCCTTGACATGTAGCCCAAGACCCCCAGGACAGTTCCCACTGAGCTCCTTTGGGAGGAGGGGACACTTGGGCCTGAAGCCACAACTTGACCTTGAAAGGACGCATTCCTGTGGCTCTGGAGCTTGACTGTGCTGTGGTATTACCAGCACGAGCCCTGGGCGGAGCTCACACTGCCCACTATGCTGTCACGTTCCTGCCGGCAGGTGGGGTATGAGCCCAGGCTCCTGGTTGTCGGCATGGCTGCACCAGGGAACAGCTCTGAGAGGGATTCTGTTGAGGGACATAGCAGCTTGTGGTTTGCCTGTGACAAGATTTGCCAACCTCATGACTTATTCTGCACGGAAGGGCCCAGTCACTGCAGAACGGAGGAGATGTGGCCCCAGGGTGCTTGTCAACCCCCTGCCTGGCCTCCCAGTCTGCAGTGGAGATGCCAGGTGTAGGGCAGACTGGCACAGCCCAAGGCTGAGGCTGCCTGTGCAGCTGGGTGGGGCCTTCAGTACCTGCTTCCATTCTGGTCTGTTCCCACTGCTCCAGCCAAGTCTCTCCCAGTTCTTCAGCAAGGTTCCAGCAGGGCTGAGGTCTGTCCTCCCCTCGGCCCTTTCATGATCTGATCCCCAAAGACCCCCCACTCCTTGTCCTGTGCCAGCCCGTGAGGCCTGGGGGTCACACCCTTGGCATGTGCACCAGGAGTGGCATCTGGGTGCTTACAATACAGCAGTCACCCACTGCCTACACCTGCTGCTGACTGGGTGAAGGGAGACTCGGGGACGGGGGCGAGCATGGCACCCATTCCTTCTGAGTTCCCCAGGCCGTGGGGAGGTGAGACCGGGAGCTCTGAGGGCTTGCCTTGTAACCTTTTTCTTCCTCTCCCCCACAGAACGGACACACCTTCAGCAGCCTCAGCTGTCTGAGTGGGGCCATGGACGACAGTGGCCCCCGAGCCTGGGCCGCCCTCCTGGCAGCCTCTGGCCCAGGAGGCAGGACCCCTGCTGGCACACCCGTGCCCTCCTCCTCGGATGACCCCCTTGCCTGCCAGGAGGAGCTGCTCTGTGAGGAGTCGGACGGCTGCACCTTGGACGAGGAAGGCAGCAGGAGGCTGGAGCCAGCCCCGGGCTGGCGGGACCGTGGGGCTGCCGGGAAGGGCCTCTGCTCGCTGGATGGCGAGCTGGACATTGAGCAGATAGAGAACAACTGAGGGGCCTGGGCCCCGGGCGCGCCAGGCGCAGCACGGCCTGCAGGTTCCCAGTCCCCAGCAGCTGGCCTGGCTGTGCCACCGGCAGAACGCCTGCTCTCAGCAGCTTGTCGAGTGTGTCGGCGTCCGGGTCCCTGAACTACTGTAGCCCTTCGAGCAGCTTTGTGAGTGGGGTCTCTGCCCCTCATCCTCATGGCTGTGGGGCAGAGCTGGGCACCGCCCGCCTCCTGCTAGGAGTACTGTAGGCAGGCCCTGCTCGGCCACGCTCAGGTCCGCTGCGGGGACACCGCCTTCAGCCCCCTTCCCTCAGTCTGTGCCGTGCCTTCTCTCCCAGGTCTCCCTGCTTCAGGCTTGGGAAGGTGGAGATGCTCCTTCTGTATCAACAGCAGAACCATTTGGCCTTAATTCCACTTGTGGGAGGCTGAGGCTCTCAGAGGGTAGGCCCAAGGCCCGCCTTGGGGGGTGGGGGACGGGGCTACCCTGGGGGCGTTAGAGCCCCGAGAGGCAGGCCGGAACCACAGAAGGGCGAGCAGCTCTGTGGAACTCCTGGGCCTGCTGCACACATACAACCTGCTCAGGCCCTGGCCACAGCCTCAGCCCAAACCCATCCCCCCTCAGCCTGCCCTGGGGACACTTCACAGGGATTCTGCTTTCTGGGTCTCAGTGAATTTGCGGTGTTCTGCACTCACCGACATGGTCGAGGCTTGGGTCAGCACTCGGCTGCCTCCAGTGGGTAGGCCACACTGCAAGTGTGGGTAGCTTCTTTAAAGCCAGCCACCGGCGATGGCCCAGTGGATGTGCTGGGGCTGGCCGTGTCCAAGTGGGGACCTCCACTGGGGCCACAGAGGCCATAACTAATGCAAGCAGGAGCCCTGGGTGGAGAGCCTGGCACCTGGAGTGGCCGCACCGGGACATAGTGTCCACGCCAGCCAGGGAGGGGTGGGCACGGCCAGACCCTGCAGCCTCACCTGCTCTGACTGCCTTTCCAGTGGTAGACGCTGGCCACAGGGCAGTGAGGCAGCTCTGCCAGCCCCAGGGACACCGCAGGCAGAAGCCATCCCGGCCCCAGGTCATCCCATGTGTATCCAGGCCAGGTTCTCCCCAGGGGCAGCAGCCTCTGCTGGGGAGACGGCCTTCAGCTGACTCCAGGCAGGGAGCAGGAGCCTTCTCAAAAGCATCCCCATCTTCTGCTGAGCAGCCCCAAACAGCAGCCCATGATCTCGGAGCGGGAGGTCCCCAGGCTTTCCTGTCCCCATGGGACCGGGTGGGGCTGCCTCCCCTCCTGCAGTGGTTCCCGCTGCTGCTCGTGGCAGGAGCCTGGCTTTTTCCTCAGCCCTGTCCATGCATGCTGCCTCTGGGGAGCCGAACACCCAGCGGGGTGGCTGTACCCGGCCGTCCACCTGCCAGGGGCCCCAAGGCCAGGCAGGTTGGGGCTGAGGGGCTTCTGTCCCACAGTGGGCCCGGCAGGCTCGGGGTCGTGCCTCGCCATGACAGGCTCACAGCCTCTTGCCTTACTTGTGGCTGGCAGGGCCGGAGCCTGCCTGCACACGTATACACATTCTCACCCTCAGAAAGCCTTACTTTTCAACACAACTTCTGTAGCAGGAAAGTTTTGTGAATTTGTATGCTGAAAGAAAGTTGAAGGAAAAGTTTGAGTTCAAGAGGAAACATGCCAGTTTCCAGTTGGGTTTCCCCAGTGCAGGGGTGTGATCTGTGGCTCTTGCTGCCGCCGCCCGTCCCAAGTCCATGGACCCTGCACACTTCCACCTAGGTGCCAAAGGTCACAGGGGGCCGTGTGGCCCCTTCCGGGCTTGCCCACCACTGCCCCCAGGACCTGGGCCCTGACTGGGCTGGCCAGCGCCGCACCTCACCACCCCATGCTGCTGACAAATCCCTCTGGGCGGTGCCAGTAAAGGAAACAGGTCTCTTGAGAGAGAAGGGAGGTTTTGTTTAAAGCAGGTGGATGTGGAGATCTTGTAGCCTAGGTAGGGTAGTCCGACCCCTCTAGCATAGTCTCTGGCAAGTGAAGTGTTTTCAGTGCGTGGGGAGACGCCTGGGGCTCGGCTGGCGGAGGGCATGCAGGCAGTCACCTGGGCTCAAGCGAGCTTCTCTGAGCCAAGCTCGGGTGCTGCCACAGCCTGAGGAGGCACAGTGAGTGGGCAGCAGTGCTGGGCCAGCCCCTGCAGGGCGCATCCTGCCCACACCCCGCTGCAGCCTGTGCCCTGCACGCCTGCCACGACTGTCTTGCACTAGAGTCGCTCTAGTCTCTCAGGAATTTGCTTGTTACTTTTACTGTGTAAATAAACCTTCCTGGTTCAGCACCCAGCTGCCTGGAGCCGGTTGTGTTTGTTGGGTGCGGGGAACTGGCAGGTCTACCACCTTCCACCTGAGCGGGGCACGGACCAGGTCCTTCTGTCCCACCAACTGGAGTACTGCAGGGGGCACAGCTGCCCCAGCCTGCTGTGGGTGGGGTCCCTCCAGCCAGGAGCTGGGGACCCTGTGTTGGCAGAGGGTGACACCCTGTCTCTTATCCCCGAGTGTGGAGCAGGGACAGTCCAGCCACGCCCAGCAGGATGGCCTGCTAACCACCCCCAGGGTAGCTAGGGAGGCCTCGGCTGGGAGGAGGCTGGTGTCCAGCTGCTGTCCACACTGAGCTCCAGGGTGGCCGTGGGCCTTGGGTGAGCATGCACAGGTTTAATTCCCACACCTGCTGCCTACCTGGTATAGCCGTGGGGTCCTGGCGCTTCTCGGACTGAGGCTCAGAGCAGTCACCATGCCAAGCTGCATGCAGAGCAAGTCTTTTTAAACCAAACGGAATCTGGCTGCTGGGGTGGGGAGGTGGTCCTGGATCCCAGGCTGGGCATGGCCCCCTTTGTCAGTTCCCTGTGGCTCACCCAGGAGATGCTGCAGCAGGCAAGGCACTTGCCTCTGCCCGATTCCTGCACGATTCCTGCCTGTTCCAAAGGAATCCTGGTGCAGCTTCCCATCTGCCCTGGAGCCTCACAGAGGGACAGCAGGTTGCAGTGCCTTGCTTGGGCTGTGTGGTTTGGTCCTTGGGTGCCTGCTTCCCGCTAAGAGACAGGCATGTGGGGTGGGGTGGGGTGGGGTGGATGTCCACCCAGCAGCTAGGACGCCCACACCCCTTTGGGCCTGGGTCCAAGTCTCAGCTCCACTCTCCATTCTGGCTTCCTGCTAGTGCATACCTTGCCCAGCAGCAGGTAGGTGATGGCCTAAGTACCTTGGCCCCGTCACCTACCTGGGAGAGATGGGCATCTGGACGGTGAGCCAGCAGATGGGCAATCTTCCGTCCCTCGCTCTCTGCCTTTCAAATAAGAAGAGGACCATGCAGGAGTCGCACCTGTCAGCCACCAACTTCTCCAAGGAGGTCCAACAAGCAGGTCCAGGCGTGAGCTCGACCCGCCTGTGTCCAGCCTGCACTGAAGGCAGGTGAGCAGCAGTCCGTGCCAGCAGACATCACACCAGGTGTGGAGGTCTCTGGCCACACCTTGTCCCCAGCCTCGTGTCACAGAGCACCACCCCCTCCTGAGGCTCTAGAGTCCCCAGGGAGCCCCAGGGATGGGGAGCCATGTGGGCCCCAAGGCAGTTTGTAGGAGGCTGGCGCCAGCTGGGCCAAATCACAGTGGCTTTGAGTTGGGTTTTCCCCAGGTGGCACCCTGAGACCACTCCTGCCAGCTGCTCTGCTGGGCACCGAGGCCCAACCCAGGCTGGCACTTGTCCTGGTCTCTGTGGGAGAAGTGTCCAAGGGGTGTCTCAGAGCCTTCAGCCCACAACTCCAACCCTGTGGCCAATGGCTTCCACAGTCTCTGACCCAAGAAGTCTTCACCAAGTCTTCCTGGGAGACAAGGAGAGACCCAAGCAGCCACAGCTAGGCCCTTGCTGGGAGTGACCCCACCAGGTGGCTGACAGGACTGCTGTGGGCAGCTCCATGGCTTTAGGGGAGCAGCAACCCCCCCCCCCCCGCAGGGCTCAGTGAAGCAAAGCCTCCCACTTCAGGCTGAACCCCATGGCTCCCCACGGGCTAGGCTGGGCCTCAGGGCCTGGCCTCTGTGCTAGCAGAACTCTAGGGGTGTGGGGGCAGGGCCCACTCACAGGTTTCTGCTTATCCCCTTACCATGACCCTGGGTAAATTACTTTCTCTCACTGCGCCCGAGTCTTTATCTATAAAATAAGAATAACAGTGAGCCTGCTGGGGGCAGCTTGTTATCCCTGCCCTCTGCAGAGGGCACAGTGCTGGCATTGGTAGAGGAAGACCAGAGGACCTGTGACTCCCCTCCTGGTCCTGCTGTCTGCCCAGCCCCCCGGCAAGTGTACCATGCATCTGGGCATCTTCTGGCTAACCAGTGGCACCAGAGACTCTGACCGGGCCAGTGGTCACTCCTCCTAAACAGACTCGGCCCCTTTGCTGCTTATGTTAGAGTCTGCAAGTGCCTGGCTCTGCTGGCTGGCAGCCATGGCATGTGGCTGGATGTTGGGATTCTGGGCCAGGGGTTCCTCCTCGCCTGCTCCCATGGGTGACAACCCCACTGGGCAGGACCGAGGGTTGCTTCCACAGTGGGTGCAGAAGCAACACAGCCATCACGTTTGCCCTTCAGCTGACTGACCCTGAGGCTTGGTGACAAAGTCACCCCAGCTTGGTCCACAAAGTCCTGCTCACTGCTTCCTGGCCTTGGGGCGCTCAGCCAGCATGGCTGCCCAGGTCACCTTGTCTGGAAGGAGTGGGTTCACAGGTGTCCAGGGACTCTGGCACCCTGCAGGACCTGCTCAGGTCCCAGTGTCCCTCCCCAGCAGGCAGAGCCTGGTGCCAAGGGTGCTGCTGCAGGCCAAGTTTATTGGGGTGTCACTTCCTCCCGTAGGTGCAGGGCGTGACACACTCTGGCCTGGCCAGGTTGCATGGTTAGCGCCCCTCCCAGCAGGAAGCACAGCCCCAGCATCCTTCCACAGAGGCCAGCCATTGTTGGGAAGGCAGAGAGCTCACTGGCCATGCTGAGCGGGGGTGTGGGGGCCCCCTAGTCCTCCCGGCCCCCCGCACACGTGCAGATCTGATGCAGACAGTGGGCGGAGCCTGCTGCGGGCATGACGCTAGGTTCAGTGTTCTGGGACTTGGCGCTCCCCGAGGCACCTTCCTGCCTGAGCCCGCGGGTGTCCCTGCCCATCAGCCCAGGCAGGGAAGCTGGAGCGTGAAAGGGACACCCATCTGTCCAGGAGGCTAGGTGGTGTGGGAGGAAGGGTGGCCCTCACCTATCTGCACAGGGCAGAAGGTGGGGGGTGTGGTCAGGGTGGGAGGAGATAGAGGCCACCCCGCCCCCATGCGTCACTTGTGTGCGTGCTGCAGCAGCAGGTCCACAGCTTCGGCCAGGTTGTCCACATACCCATCGGCCTGCACTTCTGGATGGCGCTCATCGCTGGGCCTGCACAACAGAGTGATGGTTAGTCAGGGCACTCGCTTCCTGCAAAGCCACACCCTGGGGGCTGCCAGGAGCTGCCCTGGCCCTTGGGCTCATGGGGAGGGTCAGGGCAGGACAGGTTCGGGCTGGGGGGACACCAGTACATGCCAAGACCCCAGACAGGAGGAGCTCATTCCTGCCTGTGGATCCTGGTGACCGAGATGCATGCTAAGGGACTCGGCCGGTACTGCCTGCAAGGTCACAAGCAAGCCTGAGGCCACGAGCCAGCCCAGGTGGGGACCCTGCAGCCGAGGTCTTGAGAAAGGGGTACACAGTTCTGCTTTCCGCTCTCCTCAGGTTGGAGGGCTGCTGCCTGCTCCTGCCCTCCTGAGCTGAGGTTGCACAAGGCCAGCCAGCCTGCAGAGCCCACTTGCACCTGGCCCAAGGTGCTCCTCTGGAGGGCTGGGTGTGTGGTGCAACCTGCAGCTCACATCTCAGTGCCCATTCACGTCCCAACTGCTCCACTTTCCATCTGGCTGCCTGCTAAGGCACCTGGGAAGCAGCTTATGGCCAAGTACTTGGGTGTCTGCACCCATGTGAGAGACCCGGATGGAATTCCTGGCTCCCTCTCCAGCTTCACTCAGGCCTGGCTGTTGTGGCCACTTAGCATGAACTACTGAAACCCGCCCCCCTCATTCCACCTTTCAAATAAATATTTAAAAGAAAAAAAAGTATGTCCAATTAAAAAAAATCATTTGGTATAAATACAGACACAGGCGCATGAGCACTCCAGGCCCTGTGAGGCCCCTATTCCCTGGAGTGCCATGTCCCGCCACCACAGGGCTAGAAGTGCAGACCTGCCCGCTGGCTGTGCCAGGAGACAGGTGACAAAGGCCACTGTACCATCTGAGAGGCAGCCAGTGTCCCCCAAGCCACCTGGGTGCTCTTTACACAGTCCCCGCTCCGTGGGCACTCAGCTGGATGCATATCTGAGTCTGTCTGGTTCCACGGCTGCCAAGGAGGCCACCTTCTCTTAAAGTGAGTGCTCAGAAGGGTGAACGGTGGCCCCAACCTCCTGTGGTCTCCTCTAGTACCCACGGGGAGCCCAGGGCCTGGGCTGGCAGGTGGGACTGGGACAGGCTGCAGGAGGTAGGGGACAGGGGACACTGCCCTACAGGGACTGCCATCCAGCCGCCGAGCAGCAGGACCCATGAAGGTTTTCAAGACAACACGGGGTGTGCCTGGGGTGTGAGGGCACACTTGGAGTGTGGGTGTGTGCTTGGGGTGTAGGTGTGTGCCTAGGGGGATTGTCCACCTGGGGGTGTGTGTGGCCCTGTGCCTGGGGTGTGGATGCTCGTCTGGGGTGTGGTTCATGCCTGGGGGGTGTGTGGGTATACGCCTGGGGTGTGGATGTGCACCTGCGGTGGGCTTAGGCTATAAAGAGCAGAGCTAGCCTCTTGCAATGCGCATTCCCACTGTCACATTGCCCAGGAAGTTGGCTGCGTGATCACCCAGGGTCTCTCCACAAATGCTTCCTCCACCCACCTCCTGTTCAGCTCCTGTTGGGGCACGGAGGTGTCATTCAGCCCAGTCCCACTCCGTGTTCTCCCACGGTGCATGGAGGGAGCTGCCAGGCCCTCCCTGATGCCCTGCATGGCCCTCACACATTCCGGGCCTGGCTGGGGTCTCACTGCTGGAGGGCCTGGGGCAGAGCTGGGCAGCACTCCCTGCTGTGACAGGGGGGGAAGACACCCAGGACCAGGGACACGAGTGGTCTCACCCAGACCACCAAGTGGCAAAACAGGATTCACTCCTGGACCCTCCATCCTGACCTCCTCTGGGGAAGATGTGGGTTCCCGCCTCCATAGGCTCCCCTGCCCTCAGCTGGTGCTGCCAAGGGCCCCACCGGTGGAGCCCCATGGGAGGGGTGGCCTGAGCTTGGGGACACAGCTCCCCAGGGATTCACATGGGCCTGACACTCTCACAGCTGCCCCTTGCTGGAGACAGAACTCAGATGGGTGCCTCCCAAGGGTGCAGCCATGCACACCCAAAGCCCTGGTGACGCCCTGCATGCTCAGCCCAGCACCCAGAGCAGACACTCCCTGTATGCTGAGCACCACGAGGATGCAACCCCCGTAAGACCCACAGGTGGCTGGCAGGACGCACACCACAGTGGCAGTCATCTCTTCTAGGTGTTCCTGGTCTCAGGCGTGTCCCCATCAGCTTTGTTCAGAGGATGTGGGTGGAGCGACCTGAGCGCGCTCAATGGCAAAGCAAAAGACTGCTACAGCTGAGCAGGGACACGGGACACAGCTGCACTGTGCACACACATGCGTGTGGGAGCCCACCATGGCCAGCATGAGATTAGGGACATGGGAAAGGAGAAGGTCCCAGGTGGCCCCTGGAAGAGGGCCACAGCCAGAGCAGGGCTGCGGGCCTTGGGGTACTGGGAAGTCCCCTCCACAGGGGTGGCTGACAGAGCAGGAGAAGCTGGGCCACTCTGTCAGAGATGCTCTTTCCTTTTTAAAGCATCCCAGGTGGCCTAGAAAGGCAGGGACCCGCAGGAAGTGAGAGGTGGCCTTGCAAACACAGCGAGGAAGATGGGAAAATACCCACAGCAGAGGCCTGGGATTTAGGGCAGAACAAAACTAAACAAGAGCTTAGAGCTCCCTAGTGGCCAAGGCAACAAGGGGATCCCTGTGGGTTACACAGTCAGAGAAGACTGTTGAGGTGGCTCAGCCTACCCAGCAGCACAGACCGGGAGGGGGCCGTGTGCGCCCCACCTGGGGGCCAAGGCGCCAGAAGGGCACTTGCTACCAGAGGCTGTTCCCCCCAGACAGCATACACTTGGTCCTCTCTTGAGCCTGACAGGTGGCCCTGAGCCCTGTACCCCCTATGTCTGCCATGCTGGATGGTGCAATGTGTCTACCCAAATGTCCACCTGCTCCTGTGTTCAGAGTGGCCCCTTCTCTTTGGAGGTGGGCTAGCTGACCCTGCCTCTCCCCCTCACCCCCAAAGGCCTGCGGAAGCAGCCGCCAGGCCAGGCTGGGCTGCTGTGGCCTGGGCAGAGAAGTTTCAGAGCCCCATGTTTAACCAGCCCTGTAGCAAGACATTGCCTTCATGTCCCAAACAGCACACAGGCTGTCAGAAGACATGCCTGCAAGAGGGAGCCCGTGTTCTTGGCCCTGGAAGCCAGCTGTGTGCCCCCTCACTCACCCAGCCCAGGTCCGCAAGGAGGGCAGGGCTGCGCTGACCCATCTCTCGGGCCCACCCTCTCTGGACCCCCTCCACCCTGCCCTATCCCCACACTGGGGAGGTGGCTCAAGGAGCTGGTGTGGTAACCCTCACACGGCAAGGAGGTCAATGCCAGCTCCAAGGATCGGCGCCTTTGGACGGCCCTGAACTTGAACTTCTGCCATGTCCTGACTGACTGGGGCGGGGGGGTTGATTCTTGTGGAGGGCCTTTCACACGCAGGAGGGGGAATGACCCAGAGTCCCTCACCAAGGCCGACAGGGACCTGGGGCACAGGGCCTGCAGTGTGTGCCTACCTGCACTGCCCACAGGCATGGAAGGGTGAGCGTACCAGCCTCCTGAGTTCCCCGCGCTGCGGCAGTGCTGCCTGGCACACACTTACCAGGGCTTCCATAGGTGGGACTATTGAGGCCACAAAGTCAAGGTTATTCTCCAGACCTACCCCAAGGGACACAGTGGCCCCTCCTGGGTCTGACGGCTTGCCAGCCATGGGAGGGACATCCAGGCCAGTCCTGGCCCCAGGGCCAGATACTCGGGCGGACATGGCAAATGCCACCTGCTCTGCAGACCGTGTCAGTTCATTCGAGAGCAAGGTTAGCCAGGGTCAGTCAAGGGAGCCCTTTGGCCGGTCCTGCCATCCTGTGGACAGAAGCTCCAGGGGGCCAGCCCATCACACTCACAGTGGCTTCCTTGTCTCAATCCACAGACAGGAGGGGTGACGGGATCCGCTGTAGGTCACAGTACTTGCGGGCTTAGGCCCTGGGCCTTATGCCTGCCAGCTGGGGGCCTTTGGGATGCAACCTTTCATGGCCCAGGTGTGGCAAGAGGATGAGAGTGGGAGATGCCACCAGGGGCCACACCCCAGAGGGGTCAGAGCCCCCAGGGCCAGGCCATCAGGCTGGTGTGGCTTGGGGAGGAGGGCACAGCTGCAGTACTCATCCACTTCTAAGCAGCCTTGGCTCCTGCAGGCTGCTGCGCTCAGGGTGACTCTAGACGGAACCTTGTTTGCTCAGCCAGCATCACAGGGTTATGAAGCTGAGCCGCTGTTGTAGCAGCATCACTCTGCGGCACTCTAGTTTCCTGCAGAAAAGCTGGAAAGCTGTGAGCCAGATCCCGGCATGCAGGCCCCAGATGAGCCGGCTATGGCCCCTGGAAAGACCTGGAGGTGTCTCCAGCAGGGCACTGCCAGCTGGCATGGGAGCACTGGGGGTGGAGAGTGGGGGGCCCTCAGGGAGCAAGTGGCAATGAGACCCTATCCCCTGGACCTTTTCAGCCCAGTTCCCAATCAGGGACCCCTGAGTCACCGTCAATGCAGGGCATTCCAGAACCATGGGGCTATGTGGTGAGGCAATGCCACCCCCTCTTCAGGGTGACGAGGGGCTGATGTCCCAGCCATCAGCAATGCTCTCCTCCTGGGGGAGATGACAACCAGCAGCCGTCCCAGCCCCAGCCTCCTCGCATGCCAGCACCCCTTGCCATCCCAGCCTCCTTGCCAGGCACGGACTGGCACATCCCACAGGGCTCGTCTCCTCTGCCTGCCCCTCCCTCATCCATTTGCTTTCTTGCTGTGACGTGTCTTTCCAGGTGAACCTGCAAACCAACTTGGCCAGCATGTGTTATCAGGTGGGGAGGAGGGGAAAATGGCAGAATGACTTGCTGGTACAGACAGTGTCCCCAAACCAAGGTCCTTGGTGGGCAACGTCTGCTCTGCTCCTCAGATGCATCTGAGAGGCTGGGAAAAGCTGTCACAACAGAACAGAGAGGAGAGGAG